GCAAACAATACATACAAATACAGTACAGTATTTTCTGAGAAAACACTCGTACTTATTTTTTTTAACCCCATTCCCGATAACCCGGCATTTTCACAAACTCGGCCACCCTTCGGTCCACATTAGGCCGAGTTTTCGAGGTTCTACTGTATTTATAATTACCATCAAATTTTTTCTTTTGTCCCCATGGTTTTGTGTTGTGCGAGTCTAACAACCTATTATTAAGATTAAATTAATTAGCCTAATAAACCCTCCTATTTATTATTGCCATATTTATCAAATCAGGGACTGATTAGAGCAAAATAGACTAAACTTTTACAAAAAATAGCCTTTAATTAACCATAATAAAATTTTTAGTAGAATGCATTTCAAGCATCTCTGTATGGATGTATTAGGCTGATGTGGGTCTTTGTGCCTGAAATATGCTGATGAGAAGCTTGAAATGCATTCTACAAAAAATTTGATTATGGTTAATTAAAGGCTATTTTTTTGTAAAAGTTTAGTCTATTTTGCTCTAATCAGTCCCTGATTTGATAAATGTGGCTATAATAAATTGGAGTTTATTAGGCTAATTAGTTTAATCTTAATTTATGTTATGGGCTAGAAGTGTGATTTAATAACCTATCATTGTTTAAATATATTATTAGAAGTAAATAGCACAGTTTCTTACATTGCTTTTGTACACAGGTTAATTAATCACTCACAAAATCTATGGCAGCCAGCTTCAGTAGTGTGGGTTTTAGCTAAGAAAAATGAAGAGGTGATAACTGGGCATTGCAATTGCATGGCTGGACAATCTTCTTCCTGCTCTCATGTTGGTGTTATTCTTTTTGCCAATGCAGAAGGAATTAAAATAAAGATCTCCCAGACATGTACTGACCGATCAAATAATTGGATAGTGCCACATGTAAAAGACTGTGTTTACAAACCACTAAAAAAAATAAACTTTATGTCAGCTCCAACTGCAAGCAAACGGCAATGCCTTGAAGAAAAATATATACAAAAACCTTATTTGTCAAGTGATAAAACTTGGAATACTTGTGCAAACCAACCTAGTAAGAGAAAATTTGAACAGTTTTTGAAAAAATTTCTGTTTATCACTGGCATCATCACTTCAATTTTATCAGTGATGATGCCAGGTTACTCTAATTCTTTTACAAACTATGTCAATTCATCTTTCTATAAGAACCCACTTACAACTCTATTTGATGCCAAAAAAGCTGCTTTACCCTGGGATCAGCTGTTAAATCACTGCAGGACAGTATTTGAAACTTTTCATCTGACAGATGTAGAAATTGATTTTATTAAAAAAAACACACTAGCACAGAATAGAAGCAAGCTGTGGTCTTCTTTAGATCAGATTAGAATAACTGTTTCTTACGAAAAGTGTGTGTAGAGCAGATATAGAGACTCCAGCAGTTTCAACTGTATTTTACCAGAGTAATTGTAAAAAAATTTTCTTCCCAGCCAGCTTTACTCCCACAAAAAGATTCAGAAAATGTATAAATTTTATAGCATAAAATACTTTACTGTACAGCAAATTGAGTATTGAATAAATATTCATTCATAATTATATAAATAATAATAAAATATTCATTCAAATAAGTATTCATTTGACTGATATATCAAAACTTTATTTATTTATTTTACATATTATTGGAACTTCAGTTGACAAAAGATTTCCACCCCCGAATAACAAATTGTTTTATGACAAATTAAAATTATATTGATCAAATAAAAAACACTGTTTGATAAGTATATTAAAGCACAAAAAATTGTGACAATTTTTTCAATTGTTTGTTACAGAATCTTTAGTTCTAACTGTAAGCAGTTTAATTGGTAGTGTAATGAATCATAATAAATTAAAATTAAATTTGAAAAAATATGAGTTAGATGACAATATCGAGGTCGACATTCATTCATTCATTTTAATTTATTAGGTACAGTATTATGTACATTTCCTGGCCCCGCTGTAGAGCATTACCAGGAAAAATTTTACAATAAGTGAATATATAGTATACTTAAGATTGACAGAATATCATAAAATAATAATAAGATAAACTTAAAACTAAAATAACAAAGAAAGCAAACATTAAAACAAACAGTAAAGTTTACAAACATATAAATCACATCGAGGTCGACAACCAAACCAACAGCAACCAATATGGCGTTCGCTTCGTAAGTGGAGTAGTGTGACGTCATGTGCACTCCCTCTATTAACAGAAAATATGTACCTACGTTTATATATTTGAGAAGTCTCTTGTGACGAGCATACTTCAGAGAATTTCAATGTATAGAATGTAATCACCATACTCCTATGGGCTTTCAAGTCCTTCAAGGTCCTTTGTTGGAGCTTCAATGTGTTTCAATGCTTGGTTAACGCTTCAATGTGTTTAAAGTGTTTTGTAGTGCTTAAATGTGCATTCCTAATGCTTCAAAGTGCTTTTCATCAATAGTGTGTCACAATGTTTCAACCACACAGTGTTTTAAAAGTGTTTCAGCATGCTTATATGTGCTTCTGGTGCTCTTGTGATGAATGGTGCTAGTAGTGTTTTATGGTGCTACAAGTGCAACGTGCTTTATGTGTTTTGGTGCTTTAATGTGCAACGGGCTTAATGTTTTAATGTTTGATATGTTTTATAGTGCTTCTAGTTTTCTATGGTGTCTCTAGTGCTTTACGGTTCTTCAAAATGTGCTTTACAGTGCAATGTGATTAAGTGTGTTTAGTGCTTTGATTTGTTGTGTGGTGCTATAAGTATTTCATGGTGTTTCTAGTGTTTTATGTTGCTACATGTGCAATATGCTACAACGAGTACTACAACGTGTTATACGGTGCTCCAAAGTTCAATGTGTAACGTGTAAGTGTTTTGTGGTGCTTCAAAGTGCAACATGCAACGTGTAAAGTGCTCTTCAAAGCGCATTGTGATGTGGGCTTTATGTACCTACAAGCTCTAATTCATTTAATGTGCTCCAATGCAGTGAAATTCACCTACTCCAACTTCGCTGGACTTTCAATTTATATGTAGCTCAGCTATGTTTCCTTTGTGCTTAGATGATCTGCACAACAACAGCATAATCGACATACCTCAACCTTCGCTGGGCATTCGGCTTATTGATGGCTCAACCTTGTTTCTTTTCAATGAATATACACAACTATCTTCAAACTGTTTATAGACGTGTGTAGTAACTTTCAAACCACCAACTTTTATAAGGACTGTTCTGCACACTGATTTTACTTAGGTCCAAGTAATATTCACTGACACAAAGTTCTGCTTAGAACTAAAAACTTTAAAGTACACATCTGCAATGTACTCCAAGAGCTGCTTTGCACAGCTATGAACTACTAAGCATTCATTTTTATATATTTATTTATTTTCTTTTGTTTATCTGAACATTATAATTCGTTTTGATAATTTTATTTATCCTAATATACGTCATAAGCGTATTTAAAATATAACTTATTTACTCATATTGTTTATTACTATTTGTTATTATTGTATATGTATACAAATATTGGTAACTATATATATTTAAGAATATGTATAACTTCCTGGTAATGCTTTAGCGGGTCCGGGACAAGTACCAAGTACTTAAATAAAAATGAATAAAATGAATGAATGAATGAATATTTGAGAAGTTACTTATTCGTTAATAGAAAAACTAAACACAAAGGAATTGTCTAGAACAGCAGTTCTTAACCTTTTTATTGGTTAGCACCCCGTTGAATCTGAAAATAATTTTATTAAAACGAAGCTCTTGTTTTGAGAGACACGCGTAAGTCATCAGATGCATTTAAGCAATTTCTGGCTTTTGTTTTTATGTGCAAAAGTGCTGTATTCAAGGTATGCAAACACGTCTCAACTAGTTTCTGTACTGCACGTGACAATGTGACTACATTTACTGTATGTACCCACTGATGACAAGCGCTATGTGCTAAGAGACTGTAGAGTGTGTAGAAATTATGGTGCCGTGTTGCTGGTACCACAGTTTATAGAGAACACAGTCGCCTTGTTAGTATTTTTTTCTGTTTATTATAATTTTTTAAATTTCTTTTTCACCCCCAACCCCAGGTCAAGAATATCATCGTACAAAGATCATCCTTACTGTATGAATTCTCCAAAGAAATGAATGGTTCTGCCTGTTAACGGTTAGGGCGCTACGAACACTTCGAGTTGGCTATTGGGTGGAGGGGACCGATTAGTGTGTAAAAGTGACCGGTGACGTTTTTCCCCGGAAGGGACAAACCCGAGCTTGTTGGAAATTAAAAATAACTTTCACTTATGAAGGTTCATATGTAGTTTAATATTAATTAAGGCAAAACGTATTGAATCACATGGGTAACGTCTAGATGCAAGTACAAAAATAAAAAAGTCCCCGCATGGCACTCGCTTTTACACCTCTTCCCTTCAATATAAAATTTTCCAAACTACTTGGCAACAGATCTTTACATCACCAAAGTAGGCAAAGTTTATAACACTGCACAAGCAACACTTCCCATTATCAAATTTGGAATATGATGGCTCAAGTGAAACCTTAGGTAACGTTTACATTTAATCAGGTGGCAGTACATCTTGCATTTATACTTATTTTTAAAACACTCCTCTACCTCCAAAATAAAGCTTTTCACCTGTAATAATGTTTGGGATCATCCGTAAACTATGTAAAGTTATTTTTTACACTTTTTAACAGCCATCCTTCATCCATTACACTCCGTAAGCCATAGAACATTCTGTTATTTATTAGGTGTATAACGTCGAGTGCGTAAATAAAGCTCGCTATTCAACATTTTATTGTTACCCAAGGATTAAGCCACCAGCATAGTGACACTTTTTTAGATGTTTTGCCCATTCCCACGGATTGCAACCATATACATCTGCAATACTTTATACACTAAGCCGCTACTTAGTTATGATTTTATAACCATAAATCTGATCAAACTTTTCAAAATACGCCCATTTGATGTCACTCTCTCTATTAATTTTTTGGCCTTTTTTTCTTTTGTAGGTGATCAAGATAGTGATCAATTGTTTATCACTGAAGAAGAAGAAGGTAACCAATCAATTCATAAGTTTATTCATAGAAATTTTATGATTTTACGTGTTATTAATTACTACATATTATACTAATTTAGAAATTGAAATGGAAGAAGAGGAAACTATTTATGAGAGAGCACAGGATAATTCTCTTGAAACCAGGATGATAGATGTATTATTTCCAGTTCTTGAAGACCCAAATACAGGTAAATTATTTCAATATCAAGCATTCCCGAATTAAGGCAAGTAGACGCAGTTGTTACGTTTAAATTATTATTATCATTATATGGGGTGATGAACGAGAAAGTAGCCACAGTGTGTAGCTTAGCACAGTAATAAGCACAGAAGCTAACTGCTGTTATTAGAGACATATATATTGTAAATTATCACCTGTTTCATCTATACGCAGCTACGCGTGTCGAATCGTGTTTAGTTAGACCCTGCGTAACCTAGTGACCATCTATGGTGGCGATTGTATATGGATTTGTTTAAATATTTTGATTTTTGATTTGACAACCCACACGAATTTCCCAAATTTACGTGGAAAATTGAGTTAAGGGAAGTAATTCTGAAAATCTTTAAAATTCTTAGAATAATGAGAAAATCTTAACTTTGTAATGGGCATAAAAAATTCTTAATTAAAAGAAACAATGTATGGTGCATATACGAGATCATATCTGAATGGAAACGCTCTTTAATCTATTTAATATTTTAGAAAGAATGGATAAAGAAGAAGAAGAAGAAGAAAGAGAAATGAATGACCAGAACACCGAATTGGCAGCAAAACTTCACGTATCAATAGTCGGAAAATGTTATGTTTGTGAAGAAATAGGTGAAGTATACGGCAGCATATACTTATGTTACGAGTGCAACTCAAAAATGGAAGAACTGGTTGAAAAGGGGACAACTGTCTTCTGCCGTGTTGGATGTCCCAAAAATTGTTCTTCCTGTCTTCTTTCTATTGTTTTCCAATACTTGGACGTGAATAATATTTCTAGTAAGTGTTTTTATTACTTAGAGATTGTCTTATTTCTTTTTAAAATTTATTTATTTCACACCCAGCATATGAAAAAATCGATTACAATTCGGAATTAATGAAAGAGTATGTGGATGGAGGATCTAAAGACAAGGTAAGTCCTCTCTTAAATTAGTATCGATTTATAACAGTAGATTCATGAACAGTTCTCGTCACAAAATGGAATTTTAATTCAATATGATGGATTATTCAATTGGATATTCCATTCGATGTGTGGAATCCACAAGATACGCGATGATACATGGCAATATACAAGAAACTGAATATTTTTATATGAAAAACAGTCTTTGGAAGAAAAAGGTGCCGATGCTCACTTCGCCAAATACATGGATCGGTGTTGGGATCGATATGTTCAATGGATCTGGGAGCAGAAAGACATCTTTCAACTGAACGTCGACCAAGTGGTAAGTGACCTTCAGATTTAACATCTTTTTAAGACGTATTTAAGGTTATGTTAACATCTTCTTTGCCCATTAAATCTCTTGGGGTTCACTGTCTCAAGTATTTTATATGGACGGTCTGTTCTGCAAATGTCTTTATTATGAGTCTGAAAAAAGACTTAATTGTTAACAGAAGTGCAAAAAATAAAAAAAGTTTTTAAATGGAACTAAGTTTTCCTCAATATATAGACGTTTTTACTGACCATGCACTTAATTTATTTGCATTTCAACAATGCAAAGATTAGTGATTTATTTACATTTTTTCCAATTGTTAAACACAACAGCAGAATGTGAAGATGCAATTATTCTTCCATTGGTGACATAGTATGTTTAATTATAAATTGTTTTTGAGGTCGTCATTAAAAAAATTAGCATTCTTCCGGCACTTACGTATATTTGGGTGATTGAAACATCGTTTGTATTTACATACGCTGGGTGGTTAAATTGAAGTACAATTACACTAAGATGAAACGAAGGATGAAATTTCAGGATCTACTTTCTAGAAAGGATTAGGATCCATACCACTTAAGATACTAAGTGAGTATATTGATGAATGGTCATCTGGGATAATCAGAAGCGAAAGAAAGAAAGATTTCAAAGCCCTTCTGCTTATTACACTTACAAAACTTTCTACAACATAAAAGGATTTTAAAGTCCTGTTGAACTGTTGAAGAAGGATTATTAAAAGCAACACTTGGCTAGATCTCTGAAAAACGATAGACACTTTGTAGTTGGTGCTGTAAGTCAAAGTTTGATTTTAGCGAAAGACTTAATGGGCTCCCAGTTTGATGTAGTATTTCACAATTGTAATTTAGGCCGGAGATTCATTATGATTCTAATCGAAGATTTGTTTTCGTTTCAGATCGTTCTTTTAAAAGCAAATGGCAACAAAGGAAGGTACCTGACCGCAATAGCCGATCAGGTAGGCAAAGGGCCAGCCTTCAAAGTGGACGGGGGATACATCAATCCAAATGACATAAAATCCTACAAGCACAGATGCTTGCTCATTACTATCCTGAAAACAGCCACACAGATGTTCGATTTAAAATTTACATTTTACCATTTGTATCTCTTAAAGTTGGTTTGCCTCTTCAAGTTAGGTAAGTGCCCAGTCCTCATTATTCTCCCTTTGATCAAAATATATTCCAATCTTGTCTTTTATCTCTAGACGAGACAGCAAGCGGAGCCTGTATCGCTCATCCAGAAGCAACGATATTAGCTGAAGAATATTCGATCTTATTAAAGAAAATATGCAAAGTAGAAGAGCAAGTGGTAACAGTCGAAGAAGTTATGAGTTTGGTACAGTCTCTTGACAAGCAACTGACCATCAGAGATGAAAACAGTAAGACAGTGGAAAGACATATCGAGGCTTTATGTAAGTAGGATGACAATCGTTTTTTTTTTGTTTTTTTTTCGATTCTAATGAATTACTTTAATTTTTAGTGGAGGAAAATCGAGGAAAGATCAGTTTTCAACCTCCAGTAAGTAACTTTTTCGATTTGTATATTATTCTATTAGAAAATTGTACTTAAAGCAGTGGATTGAAGACTATGAAAAGGGGGGAACAAGCTATTAAAGAGGCATCGTACTGTACGTTATGCAGAGCTTCAAAGTCAGATCAACGCCCTCACAAGGTGGCACTTGTTTTACTCGAAAATAACGAATAGGTTTTGGTCAACTTATGAAGTTGCATGGGTTAATAGACAAATATTGTTAATTAGTTTCTTTTCGCGAATTTTCTGTTTTGGGATTAGGAAAAGGGAAATCGAAACGAAAATGGAGGCACGTGTCCCATTTTACGGGAGCCCCTCACTTCAACACATTTTTTATCTCCAGGGATTCAAATCCGAAACTAATTTTTCTGATGATTCTTCAAGAATTTCAAGATCATTCGTCATTCAGGTTTATCAAATATACACTTCGAATCGACTCAACTTACCAGTTGAGTTTATTGCGATATAACAGTTTAAACTATTCCGTAATCTCGGACTTTTCAAATTTAATGACTGTGTAATGAAGTCTTTGTTGTAAATGTTCACTAATTTAACACATGTTTTCTTATTTTAGCGCCCACTCGGAAACGAAGGTATTCCATATCGCTTCATAAATGAAGGCTTCGCTCAATGCCTGTTGAAAACAAGGAAGTACCTCTTGAATCACTTTACTGTGCATGATTCTCGAAGCTTGATTCAAGCCAATATAATCAAAGTGGTGCTGTTTATTCGCGCAATGCAAGATATTCCAGAATCGTCTCCCTACGATGACGAAATCGCCTCAGAATTAAAGAATATGATTCAAAATATAAAAGACACTGCCTATCGAATGGGATTACATGAGAAAAACCCAATAGTACCAACCCAACTGGTGTTGTTGATGGATCCAGGTGAGTAGAGAATTATTTTCGAGAAATTTCAAAGTTGTCTAAATTGAAATCTCTGTGTTTGATGTTACAAATAGCACAAATATATTTTGCTTTCTAACGGAATTTGTAAAAAAAATGGTGAAACGTATCACTCTTTTAGATGGACTTTTTGAAATCCTTAAATTCTGTTCATAAATAGAAAAGATTTCTTTGATGAGGTGGAAAGTTTATCCAATTGACATACACGTGCAATACATTGTATCAGTGTTAAATTAGTTCTTTACTCTTCTAATGGGTTCATAAACCATTTTTTATAGCTTTTAATCTCTCATAATTTAACAGTTTTATTTCCTAGTCAATTATGATTTCTCTCATAAGATTCTGTAAGCAATTTGCTTCAGCATTAACATATCCTGTTTATAATTATGTGTAAGCCTTAGTTATGCCCATTTGCATGCCATTAAACGTATTAAAAGAGTTGCTACACACTGGCATATTGGTTAGGAAGGGAATGAAAAGGTGAAGAGATAACACGCGAATCCTTCGTTTTCTTTTATTCAGGTTTGTATTTGTTGTGTCTGTAGACCATATTTAGAACATGGATTCCGTTGTTAATTTTCCCAAAGGATGTCCTAAAAGTCATGGGTTGCAGAAATAAACAGAAAACAAAAAAACTGGAGTTTGTCATGCAACTTAGCTGATACTAGGTCTACTAAAACAAAAATACATTGAAGGCTTATGTAACTAGTACTGAATCTCTTTCCTACTTCGGAACTTTAGCCAAAAATTGCAAATGCACTAATTTTCAGGGTCTTCAACAATAAAAATTACATTTTCTTAAAATATTACAGAAACTTTAATGTTTATTATTTTTTTGTACAGGAAACATGCTTACTTCCTAATGTATTTTTAAGACAATTTGTTTTATTAATTAGAAATAATTAAATTAGAAATAATTAAATTAGAAATAATTAAATAATCAACGAACAGACAGAAAATAAGGTTGTAGGAACTAATTTTTTAAAATAGATCTCCAGCGAATTCTTGGAATTCCACAAAGATGACTCTTGCACAAATAATTTAAAACAGAATGGCGTTTGAGCTAGGGTTGTGGAAATTATTCTTCTTCTGATATCTTTGCAATGTTAATTTTGTTTCACTCTCGTAGTTCACAACTTGGCAACTCCATTGTGTTTAAATATATTGACTACTGTTCTAACATCACTAAAGTACACAGAAATCATTTTGTCAGTTAGAATGGGTCGAGAAATGGCCATCCCTTCTACATGTATAGAAGGAATGGTCGAAAACTAGAGTTGTTACATACACTAAAGGAATAAGACTAGAATTACAGGAAATCCTATTATTTTAATATAGAAGTAAATAAAGATGTTTATAATTTTTTGAGAAATTGACAATAACGTACTGATAATGTTTCAGGATCAGGAGTCAAGATGCGTGATTGTTCGCAAATGTATTTGAGTAAAGTGTTCCTGTATAAATTGTCTAAAGTGACCAAGATAAGCGTAGCTACTTTCGAATGCCTTATGCCGTCGTTCAATTTGCGGGGCTATCTACTAAGCGATAGACTATGCTCACAATTTGTTATTTACGCTTCATTCATACAGAAGATCCTTCAGGCCGAAGCATACGTCACCCAAATCGGGTCTAAATATTTATTTGATCGTCAACTTCTGACCTCCGACTGGCACTGATTCTTTTTAATAATGGGACTCGATGGAAGATACAATGGTCGTGTATTGTTAGTCATTCTGTGGTCCTCAAAAACGAAAACTTAATCACGATTTAACTTGGATTTGTGAAAGGAAGACTTAAGTAATGCCTATTGTGTCGAGAACAGAGAAACTTCGACATGTGATAAATTTACTTTTTCCTTAAACCGAATTTCCTTGTAATGATGTAACTTATACTGTTAATTGTTATTTATTAAGTTCAGTCAATTAAGCAAATCTCAGTGTAGTCTCTTGTTTTTGTAATCTAATGAAATAAAATTTTGATTTATTGGTTATAAAATTTAATGATTTACTTTTTCTTAAAAATAGAAATTCCGGTTACAAACATAAAAAAAAAACAGTATTTTGTCAAGATTGAATGAGATTTGAGCTATTTATTGCTTTTATTAAAATAAGTCGAATATTTTTCAACCTGTTTAATTTAATCAATATAATCAAATTCATCCCGAGATGCTAGATATATTTTTTTCCACTCCACGTTCTCCTCACTTCGTTTCTCATCTCCCCAAGATTTCAATTTTTTCAGCACACATTCCAAAGAGCAGATCTTTTTAAAATTGACACCCGGCGTACAAAATTGCTTGAGGAAGTAGTAACAACCTAATAACAGCGTAAACAGAGAGAACGAACTTGTAACGTGACAGATAAGCATCCACAATGACGGTTTTTTCATTAGTTTTACCCACGAAACTAACGGTGGTTTTGTTAATAATGCCTTGTTTATCTAACAAATTCTTTTTTTCGTTCCTGTTGACACATGCCCAATACAAAGTTAAGATTTTCAATAGTCTACTTGCCATAATTCAGGAATGTTCAATATTATAATGATTTACCTTTGTTCGGGTCTTCAAAAAGAGGAAATGATCCTTTTATTATCCTAGTTTCAACTGGAGTATCCTGTGCAGTGGCCTGCATCCTCTCTACTCCCTCAGAAATTTCTTGCTCTTCCCATTTTAATATCTAAATTAGTTTAGTATGTTGTAACTAACTACACGTAAAAGTATAAGAGTTCTACGAATAAACTTACCAATTGTTTGGTTACCTTCTCCTTGAGCAGATGATGATTGATCACCATCTACAGGAAAATAAACATCAAACTGAAATGTAAATACAGTATATACAAAATAATTTTCTATAATATCTTTGATAGGATTTATTAACAATTGACTTCACACAACAATTATTGTGTTTTAATTACTTGTAAAAATGTAATTGCAACAGCACATAGCCTTATGAGGTCCCTCTGAAATGAAGTGTGGCGTGAATGTTTCACATCTCTTCCAGAAGCCATCAAAGTTACACAGTAATGATTGAAAATACATGTTTACAAATTTTACAACCCTTATTTTATCCGGGGAGAGAGAACATCAAGCATCAGATTTGATTTGTTACTTCATTATGAGAAGCATCACTCAGAAAATTTGTAATTTACAAATCTTTAAATTTACAACAAATTTCTGAAATTTATTTAAACTATATTACCTTAATTATAGTTTAAATAAATGTAAAGAGGTCCATAAATTGCATAATATGTATACGGTGGATAGGTATGCAGGTAATCAGATGCATGGAAATGGGTGGGAAATTTAAAAAAGCGTCACGTAATTTTAGAATATCAATCCTTCCATAACAATGATTCATTTTTGTTACTGAAATGTTGCATAGCGTTGCTCATTTACGCCACTGCCTTGTACTATACGTTATACATTTAATAAATAATGAAACGTTCGACACCCCGTTCTATCGCGTAATTTTTAGCATGGGTACGTGCGACGGCGTTACGGCGCGTAAAAGATGATGGATGGCTGTTAAAAAGTATAAAAATAGTGTTATAATTTATGGATGATCCCAAACATTATTACAGGCAATACGCTTTATTTTGGAGATAGAGGAGAGTCTAAAAAAAGCTATAAATGCAATGTCGAAGTGAAGGACATAACGAGTGTTACGTGATGAAACGTAAACGTTACGTAAGGTTTCATTTAATACCTCATTTGACTAATTTGATAATGGGAAATGTGTTAGCTAATGAAAGGAAGAGGTGTGCCATGCGGGGACCCTTTCCTTTTTTTACTTGTATCTAGACATTATCAATCGACGTCATCTTTATACATGTAATTCAATACGTTTTGCCTGAATATTAAACTATTTATGAACCTTCATAAAAAAAAAAAACATTTTTAATTTCAAAAACATAGGGTTAGTCTTTTCCGGGAAGAAACGTCACCCGTTTCTTCTAGTCACTAATCAGTCCTCTCTACAGATTATGTATACAATAGAAAACTCCTCAAGTGTTCTTAGCTAATAGGCAGAATCATTCATTTCTTTGGAGAGTTCATACGATAATATTCTAGACTAATCCTTTGTGTTTAGTTTTACGACTAACAAATAAATAACTTCTCAAATATATGAAGGGAGGTACCTATTTTGTGTTAATAGGCTACAAGTAGAAGTTAGTCAATATCAATGATATTAACACTATCTTTTATAATTCACGTGGTCATCGTCTAACACGTGTCCACTAGTGGAATTCACCATCTTAATTTTAAAAATACCCTTTTTACATTTATAAAAACTTATTATTCATAATTAAAACATATTTAAGACTTCAATATTTGGTTAAATTATATACAGTAGACCCCTATAAAACGGGTTTATATAATACAAATTCGTAAATAAAGGCGAAAAAATTGCGATCGTATTCGTATAATCACGCTAAAAGAGACTCGTATAATACGGTAAAACGTCATCGCCGACTCGTGTCGCGATAGGATTGGTCGAATCTAGACCAATAGCAAATATTGCACAAACTGTTAGGTTTAAACGAGCAGCGGACCTACTAAAAACCATTTCAACAGAAATAATAATTATATTTATATTAATGTCGTCTCCAAAGTTTAGCAAATTTTTCGCAGAAAAATAACTTATCAGGAAACACGAGCCCACTGTAGTATGCGCTGTTCCGTGACGAAAACAAGCTTAATTAAGCAATGTTGTCGTCGAACGCAAATGCACACTCGGTAAGTAATCCTACAATATTTTGTTTATAGCATAGTTTATATGAATTATTCCCAACATCTTTTGGAAATGTTGAGTCAAATTAGTCTAGAATCGATTAATTTTATGGAAGAAAACATTTCAAACAGCTCTAGTCCCTAAACTGCACACGTGCCGGGCTGTAATTGACTCATGTACTTAACTGACTGGTAAAACACCGAATTCATATAAAACGGAACGTATCTGCCGTGTTATAGAGGAGTCTACTGTATAACATAATTACAATTGACATTTTGAATTATTAAAGAAAACTTTATAAATTATTCACACATTTAATGACAATAAAATCTGTTTCGAAGTAAAATGTATAATTTTACAACCATTTTGCCCATATTTTACAACATAACTCCTTATTTAAGTGTACAACACAAACTTTCCAAAAGTTTATCAAACGTAACGTAACTGGAACTTCAACACGTAAAATGCCAGTCGTGCTTGTTCTACTCACTTCCTAATTAGTTTTACGGCCCCATTCTTTTCCTTAATTTAAAAAAAATAATAATTTACTTTCAAAACTTACTTTCTGAATCACTATTGTCTTGCGGCAGTTCACGTTTTTTCTCCATTTTCTTCGTACAAAACAGATTCAAAGTGACTCCTACGAACAGTGGGATATACGCTACGTAATTCAAAGTGAACCGTCGCACCATCTACCGACGTCACTTGGAAAGATTTTTGTCATTAAATTTTCCAAATTACTTGCGTGTTACCTGTAAAGTAAATAAAATAAAAATTACATATAAACCTTTAATAACAATTTTACACGTGCACAATTTTATTTATACCAAGTCATCTGTCGATAAACATCGGAAAGGTAATATTTTACACAGTCAGTAAATATATTTGCTTTTTTGTATTGTATCGCTGTTTTATTTTTATTATTTATTTTGTTGAAAGTGTCATGTCAGGCTAAATTCGAGGCATAGATACCCAAACAAGTGTTACAATAAGCTTGTGTGTTATTAGTATTGTAAAAAATAGGCGATGGGTTTCTTCGAATGACCTTTTTAAACCATAAAATAAAGAAAAGATGGCAAAAACGTCACAAAAAGAATGCNTGTCATGTCAGGCTAAATTCGAGGCATAGATACCCAAACAAGTGTTACAATAAGCTTGTGTGTTATTAGTATTGTAAAAAATAGGCGATGGGTTTCTTCGAATGACCTTTTTAAACCATAAAATAAAGAAAAGATGGCAAAAACGTCACAAAAAGAATGCAGTTATGCAAGTGTTTTCTACGTGTCTATAACCTATTTGGGACGACATTCCCTCAGAAAGTCCCCCTAGTGTTTGTTTGTTCAGACAAGGTTATATCGCTCTGTCGGTACGTGCCTCGTACTGTGCAACTACGGTATTAATTGGCATATGACCCTTTTGTAGAATTGCCTTAATGCCTTGTCCTTCGGGTAAATTCTTTTAAACTGGCAGATAAAATTTAGTGATGTATAAATTATTTAATCATGAAGAAATAATGAAAAATTGTTTCTTTGGTTCCAGACTGATCTGTATAAAAAATAAAACAGTTGTATTATTAGTAATAGTAGAAAATATTTTATTATAATCGAGAAAAATGAATTTCATAATCACTACTGTATAAAATTCGTTTAAAGTAATCAAACTTCGGATAATATTATGAGCTGTGATAATTAGACACTTGGGGACAAATAACAAAAATTATTAGAAAATTCGTACTACAGTAATATCTCGGCTTACGCTACCCCGACTTACGCGATTTTCAAATCTCGTCGATTCGTCATTTGTTTGAGCGCCACGCAACGTTTGATTACTCATTCCCCCATTCTATTGTTCGGCTTGCATGTTCGACAATGTCTCGCGGAATCGACACATAGCTACAATTTATTTTGTGTTATTTATTTCTGTTTGTCATTTATATCTACGGAGACTTGAGAGACTTTATGTGGTGATTTCTTGTAACCGTAACCGAATCAAACGACGAGATAAGATTAACCAGAACATTTATTAGCTTACATACATCCGACTTGGATTTTACACAAATTCAGAAATTATACCCCAACTTACGCGAATTCGACTTACGCGGTTATCACTCGGTTTCACCTATCGCGTAAGTTCGGGGTATTACTGTACTGTAAATGGATCTTTTCCATGCTGTAAGTACAGG